AAACAAATCAGCAAGAAAAAAAAGTCCCATCAAAAAGTGGGCTAAGGACATGAATAGACAATTCTCAAAAGAAGATATACAAATGGTCCACTACAATCTTGAAAAGGAGTGATGAAAGCAGACATTCTTGCCTTGTTCTTAACCTTAGGGGAAATATATTTACTCTTTCACTATTGTGTATGATGGTGTCCGTAGGTTTTTAAATAGGTATCTTTTATTAGCAAAGGAAACTTTTTCAGACTCTTATGTTCCTGAGAACTTTTATCCATGTATATAACAGTTAAAATCTTACAAGACATTAACTTTATTTCAAAATTGTTTTCTGCACCAATAGGTATAATTGTTTTATTATCTTTTATAGATATTAATATGGTAGGTTACAATACGTAATTTTTGAATATTGAACCAGCCTTGTATTCCTGGAATTCATATCAAATGATTGTAGTGTATTATACTTTCTATATATGTCTGGTTTCAATTTAATACATTTTTGTTTAGATGTCAATGTTCAGAAAGAATTCAGTCTGTAATTTTCTTGTACTATCTTTACTTGAATTTGGAATCAGGGTTACACTGGTCTCATAAATTGCACTGGGAAGTGTTCACTCATCTTCTATTTTCAGGAATAAATTTTGTACAGCTGCTGTTAATTCTTCTCATATGTTTGGCATAATTTACCTTCTGGACTTGGAGATATTTTCAGGTTTTCAGCTACAAGTCTCAGTGCTTTGACATTTATAAAACAATTCAGTTTTTCTATCTCATCAAAAGTAACTTCTGCTGGAGTGATGGATCAGACCTGTAATCCCAGCATCTTGGGAGGCTGAGGTGGGAAGCTCACTTGAACATAGAAGTTCGAGGTTACAATTAGCTCTGATTATTCCACAGCACTCCAGCCTGGGTGACAGAGAGAGACTTCATCTCTAAAAAAATAATAAAATAAAAAAGTAACTTTTTGAAAGTGTATGGGTTTTGAGGTCATTGATTTTATCAAAGCTGTAGAATACACTTTTGTAGAGTATTTGTGGTATTTCTTTACTATAATTTAATGTCAGAGTCTCTACTGATATCCATTGCTTCATTCTTGATGTTGGTAATTTGTGTATTTTCTGATTTTTGTTGTTATGCTGAAGTTTTAGCAATTTCGTTGATCTGTTCCCAAAACCAGTTTTTGGTTTAAGTGATTTTTATTTATTTTCTATTTTATTAATTTCTAATATTAAATATTTTCTTTATTATTTCATGGCTTCTGCTGAATTGAATTATTTTTCCCCTAGCTTTTTAAAATCTTCTATCCAGACCACAAAAAATTTTCTCTATATTAGCAATAAGTCTGTTTTGCTATATTATTTATGTGTCTACTGGAGTAGCACATTTAAATTTTTTTCAATAACTTTTCTTTGCTTTCACAACTTGTCTCACTGGTGCAAAATCTCTAGCATCTGGCCTGCCTTAGGTTTTGATACACCTTCTTCACTAAGCTTAATCATTTCTAGCTTTTGATTTAAATAAGAGACATATGACTCTTCCTTTCACTTAAATACTTAAAGGCCATTGTAGGATTATTAATTGGTCTCATTTCAATATTGTTGTGTCTTAGAAAATAGAGAGGCCTGAAGAGAGGGAGAGAGAGAGTGGAATGGCCAGTGGGTGGAGCAATCAAAACATATACCATTTATCAATTAAGTTAACTGACTTATGTGGGCACAGTTTGTGGTTCCTTAAAAGAATTACAATAGTAATATCAAAGATCACTGATCACACATCATCATAACAGATACAATAATAATGAAAAGTTTGAAATACTGTGAGAATTACCAAAATGTCACATAGAGACATGAAGGGAGCACTGTTGGAAAAATGGTACTGATAGATTTGCTCATTACAAGGTTGTCACGAACTTTCAGGTTCAATAAAGTGAACCACAGTAAAATGAGATAGGCCTATATTTGGTAGAGCATCATTCTGGGTGTGTTTGTGAAGGTGTTTCTGAATGAGATTACATGGGAACTGGCAGACTGAGTAAAGCAAATGTGGAGGCCTAAAGAGAACAAAAAGGTGGAGTAAGAGAGAATTTGCTATGATTGTCTTTGAGGTAGGACATTGGTCTTCTGCCTGCAGGCTGTGACTCATACTGGATCTTACACCATCAGCTTCCCTTGTTTTTTGACCTTTGGACTCATTGAACCTTACACCATCAGCTTTCCTGGTTCACTGGCTTCCGGACTACAAATGAAACTATAGCATTGGCTATCCTGGGTCTCTAGCATACCAGCTGCAGATCATGGGACTTCTCAATGTTTAATGTACTATGAATTACATCCAGTCCTTTTAGGTATACGTATATTTAAACGTTGTGGTTTACATCTCTAGAAGTTTGATTTTTTTAATGTATCTTCCACATCTGTAAACTTTTGAACATATGGTAAACAGTATAAGTGTTTTAATGCCATAACTTGAATAATTCTAACATATGTTTCAATTCTGAGTCAGTTTTGATTTACTGATTTTTCTCCTTACATCATATTTTCCTTCTTTTTTTCATGCTTAGTAAATTTGCATTGGAAAATTTTCTTTTACTGGGTATATTTGTATTCCATAAATATCCTTGAGTTTCTTCTGGAGGGCTACTAAGTTACTTGAATACAGTTTGTTGCTTTAGTCACTTGTTTTGAAGATTTGTTAGGTAAATTAGTTTAGAGCTAATTATTCAAACTCTTGAAGCAAGACGCTTTTGATTGCTGAACTCAATGCCCCAGGAATCCTTAGGTTTTCATTCTGGCACATAAATAGTGTGAGAATTCACAAAATTCCCAGCCTTTGCATAAGCATTGGGCACTATTTACCTTAACCCATTAAGTAGTTCTTTCCTCGTTCTTGGATAGCTTCCTTGCATCCATATGAAGATCAGCACTGAGCTGAACTCAAGCAGGGTGCTCTCTCGGTGTATTAGTCCATTTTCACACTGCTGTAAACAAATACCTAAGACTGGGTAATTTGTAAAGGAAAGAGGTTTAATTGACTCACAGTTCCACAGGGCTGGAGGGGCCTCAAGAAACTTACAATCATGGTGGAAGGTGAAGAGGAAGCAATGACCTTCTTCACATGGTGGTGGGAGAGAGAAGTGCAAGCAGGGGAAACGCCTTATGCTTATAAAACCATCAGATCTCATGAGAATTCACTCACTATCGCGAGAACAGAATGGCAGAAACTGCCCCAGTGATCCAATCACCTCCTTCCCTCCTTCTGAATGAGATTACATTTGAACTGCCAGCCTGAGTAAAGCAAATGTGGAGGCAAATATGTACCAAATATTTTTATTTAATAACTTACTATTATTTTTAACATATGGGGATTACCATGGAGATGAGATTTGTGTAGGGGCACAGAGCCAAACCATATCACATGGCAAGTCGTAAAAGATTTTTCTCTGTTTAGCATTATCTTTTCTGACGCTTTTTATGACAAATTCTGTCTTAGTCTGGATGCTCAGCTCTGTCTCCTTCTTTACATCTCAGTTTTGTTCAAAAGTTGTACTCCTTGATGTAAAGGTGAATGTCTAATTGTATTTCGGTGACTTGTACATACTTGTCATCCATAAATATTTGCCAAATAAAGGAATAAACATTTTCACCATAAGATAAACCTCATCATAGCAACACCTCGTTTAAATATTGCTGTTTTTGTTGTTTTATAACATGTACCAAATATTTTTTATTTAATAATTTACTAATATTATTTTCAAATTGTGTTAGGTAGTTAATCCAAATCAACAGTATATAACTGTGATGAGTCAGGAAACTTCAGTTGTTTCTAAAAGTATTGTGAATTCTCCACTGCTCCTCCAATAAAGGTGATAATAGACTTTGTTCTGATATAAATATTTTTACCTTATTGCATATTTTTTCCTACTGCTCCTATAGCACAGAGCATTTCTATTTATTGGCTTGCTGGATATTTGCATAATTGATGTAATATTTGATATTTAATAACTTTTAATATTGAGTAACTTTACTAATGTTTTGATAATACTTTCAGGAATACTTAAAAAAATTTCCTTATTAGACATGTTCAGCATTGACTTATTTTGATTTGCCTGCTTGACAGTACAGGTACTATAATTTCTTTAATGAGATATTTAAATATATAATCTTCTGAAATCTCAGGTGGCATACATGCAGAAATATTATGCCTTTATAAAGTCAAAAATTTTAAACTTTTTAAAGATAAAATTTTTCTCTGGCATATCTGTAATATTGAAAGTGAACCAAAATGTATTTCTAAGGCTTAGGGGACATGTTTTGAGCAGCCACCCACATCAGCAAAACATTTCTCCAAGCACCCATATTTTTATATGGTGGCTTATATGAGCGATGGCTCAGCCCTGTTGTCCTGCACATGAGGAGGCGAGGCTAGGTGTTCTAGACCAGCCTGGACAACATAGAAACTTCTCATCCATTAAAAAAAAAATACATGTGATTTTCACATAATATATTCATGTGTGTTCCAATGCAAAATAGTAGTTTCAATGTTCAATTATTTTGAGTTGTATTTACACTTCTAAGTTAAACAAACAAACTTAAGAATATGTTAACATTTTTATGATCCCCAAGACCCTGCAACATTCAACCTCTGAAGAATATACAGCTTTAGAAGAATGAATAAATAAATATAATAAGCATTTTTACATAACACATATTAGGATATATTTTATTTCATGCCAATAGTAGGTTCCATGTAAAAATGAGACATGGGTTGGGAAAAATACTGTAATCAAAAAAATTCATAATGTCTAGGATCCTTTTCCAGATTATACTAGAATTAAGGAAATGGACTCGCATTCTCTTATATAGCCATGGGCCTTCAAAAGTGTTCCCCAAAACCATTCTCCATGCTCCAACTTCTCATCTGCCTCACCACTGGGACCCACAGAAAGTAAACATGCTCACAGTACAGGAACTAGAGCTTTGCACTGTTTGTTTTTTGTTGTTGTTTTTTGTTTTTATGTGGAACGCTTCATGAATTTGCGTGTCATCCTTGCGCAGGGGTTATGCTAATCTTCTGTGTATCGTTCCAATTTTAGTGTATGTGCTGCTGAAGTGAGCACTGCACTGTTCTTTTAAGAAGGAGGCAAGGTAAGGGTTGCAGCAGTCCTTGGAGAAAAAGAAGCAGCTCCAGACCCAATTGTGTTAGATGTATTTGCTGAACACTTATGTCCGAATCATGGCGCAGAGAAATATGTGCAGGATACAAATATGAATATTTCATGGGCTTGGGAAGGAGTTAGGCTGCAAAGCAATGCTACATGATGAAGTGTTCAAGTAGGACCAGTCTGAGGAGAGGACACCTCATGGGTTTCGAGTTAGTTAGTGTGGTGAAAAGAAGCAATTTCGGCCGGGCGCAGTGGCTTACGCCTGTAATCCTAGCACTTTGGGAGGCCGAGGTGGGTGGATCACCTGAGGTCAGGAATTCAAGACCAGTCTGGCCATCATGGTGAAACCCATCTAAAAAAAAAAAGGAAAGAAAAGAAGCAATTTCAAGACGCAATTGAACATGCTGAATGGGAAAAAAACAGAGGTTGTTTTCATATGTGGAGAAAAAGGGAAGTTCATATGAAATATTTTATGGCTTGTGGTAATCTTATTTTATCTTTTAAAGGAGACTAAAGCATGTTTTGTTTAAGATCCTGTCTTTAATATTTGCAATTCCAAATTTTTTTTTTTTTTTTTTTTTTTTTTTGAGATGGAGTTTCGCTCTTGTTACCCAGGCTGGAGTGCAATGGCCCGATCTCGGCTCACTGCAACCTCCGCCTCTTGGGTTCAGGCAATTCTCCTGCCTCAGCCTCCTGAGTAGCTGGGATTACAGGCACGCGCCACCATGCCCAGCTAATGTTTTGTATTTTTAGTAGAGATGGGGTTTCACCATGTTGACCAGGATGGTCTCGATCTCTTGACCTCGTGATCCACTCGCCTCGGCCTCCCAAAGTGCTGGGATTACAGGCTTGAGCCACCGCGCCCGGCCAGCAATTCCAAATTTTTATAGTTCTTGTCACTGTTGAGCTAAGGTAGACCATTAGTGTGTCCAGTCACATACTAATTTAATCTAGATTCCAGAATTCCAGAATTCACACCATCAGTGCATTTATTCCCCCAAAATAACTCAATAAAACACTGAAGGATTTTCAGAAGATTGTTGATGTTTATCAAGACTTGAGAGCATATGTTATAAAGGGACCTGAATCCATTATTTTGAAATAACTACAGAGAAGTAAAATAAGTAAAAAAGATCCATTACATCTATGGACAGATTGCACGGTGGAAAGCATAATTGTGTAAGACAACAAACTTGAGAATATGTATTAAAAGGGAAAGAATGATGTTTTTGATTCACAGTGAATGCTTATTCATGATTTTATAAACCATCAAATAGAAAATGATGCGGAACTATGTGGGATACAGAGCTATAGTATGTGTTAAATATAATGTCCCCTGAGAGAAATGATTTGAAGCACTTTCAAATATTGTCTAGGTTCTTCTCTCTTTCTCTCTCTCTTTCACACACACACACACACACACACACACACACACACCCTTGAATCTTTGAATTAAGACAAATGTTAGTATCTGCATTTGGTGACAATGTGACTGTAGTCAAAGATAACAAATGATTATTCTCAAGAGACACACAGCTTGCACCTACTCTGCATTGATTTTTCATTAAGGAGCATAATATTTTATTTGCATTTCAGGCAATGACATGGATTTTTTGGTGAACTCACTCTATTTTGTCTACGTATCTTTAATAGGTTTGCGAGGCAGTTTACAGCAAAAGGCCATAAAATTGTTTTCTAAATAAAGATAATAGATCAAAGTTTTCAATTCAACATGGTATTCTCAAACCCACACACTGAAATAGGACTAGCTTACCCAGTCAAGTGGTGAAGAAAGCTGCCTTGTCAAAACATGTAAATTCCCACTGAGTTTGTGTCCTTAAATTAGAATTTTTTTCCATCTCAGGTTTTTCTATTGCTGATCACTGTCCAAAGCATCTCACTGTTTCTCTTTCCCCCCAGAGTGAGCTCTATTTGTATTGACCTATGCCTCATTATTGGGTACCACAAGAGCATCAGCTTGACTAAGACAACACATTTATGGCAAAATTTGTATTTAAAATAATTCATGGCAAAAAAATTATATTTAAAGTCATCACTCTAAATTTCTTCATGAATTTCCCTTTCCATATTTCCATCTTAATGTTTTTGGACTGTCTCTTGATTTTACTCACCTCTGAGACCTTAAAAAAGCCTTTGAGGATGATATAATTAGACATTGAATGTTAGAAGATGACTAAATGGTGGCAATATACGTTGATCAAAATTAACTCATGACAGTAGGGACATGTTTTTCGAAGAGTTGGGATCATTTCTAATTTAATTGGAATTCATTTATAAACAATTTGTGCTAAATATATTTCCTAAACTTTCTAAGTATCTTTTTCTCCAGATATTATACCATTTTCCCCACTTAAACTAGATTAACTAGTCATTAGGGATAGGGAGAAAAGAGACTGACTTGCTGCAGTTCAATGTCATAGAGCAGATATTCTCATCAGTGAATAAATGCTATGTAGATTTTACCAAGAGTTGTTTCTTTCTTAGTCTTGTTCCACTTGTGAACTTTATTTCACTTGATACTGTTCCCTCATCAATTCCATGTCCGACATCTTTTTGAAAGTCAAACGCATCTATCCTTCCTTCTTAGGACTTCTTTTCAGAGATCATCTTGTCTTAATCCAAAACTCCTTAGTCAGTGCCCTTCTTATGACAGCGTTCACATCCTTGTTTCTCAATGTGTAGATGAATGGGTTGAAGGTGGGTGTGACAATGCCACAGAAGAGAGCAACGATCCTCCCCCGGTCATGAGAATAGCTAGAGGGAGGGGGGGCGTACATACTGATGGGTGTGAAGTAGAAGAGACAGACCACCAGCAAATGTGAAGCACAGGTATCGAAAGCCTTCCAGCGACTTTCAGCAGAGAGACTTCTCATTACTGCCTGAGCAATGAACACATAAGTGCCCAGGAAGATGGTGAGTGGCACCAGGAGAAGCAAAACGCCTAGTACATTGAGCCCAGCTTCATTCATACGAGTATCAATACAGGCTAGTTTCAAAAGGGCTGGAACTTCACAGAAGAAATGGTCCAACACTCTCCGTCCACATCTTGGAGCCATCACTGTGAGAGTGCATTGGACAAGGGAGTTAGCAAAATCACTGATCCAGGTGCCCATGTGGATACAGTGTTTCTGCTTCATGATGATTGGGTAGTGAGGAGGCTTGAAAATGGCAGCATAATGGTCAAAGGCCATGATGGCCAGAAGCATGCATTCAGTAGAACCCAGGGCCAAAGCTATATAGAGTTGGACAACACAACCCCCATAGCTAATGGTCTTTTCTGGTCCCTGGAGGTTGACCAGCATTTGTGGGATAGTGCTGGTGGTGTAGCAGAGGTCCAGAAAGGATAGGCTGGAGACAAAAAAGTATGTGGGGCTGTCAGGCTGGGGATCCAGGCAGAAAACTAGCATAATGGAGATATTTCCAAATAGGGCAAAGATGTAGGCCACCGGAAAGATTACAGAGTGTTGTCTCTAGCCAGGGATGGCCAGAAAATCCCAATATGATGAAATCACCTATTGAGCTTTGATTGTTGATCCACACGTCAGTACTGAGAGGTGAAATTCCACCTGAGACCTCTAAATACCCACAATTAGGGATAGATAGACATCAGCAGTAAGAGGAAGCCACTGAGAATTAGAGATCAGAGATGCTGAGATGAAATTCTCATTTTTGCTCTAATCTGCATCTGCATCTTCATTACAGTAAAATGTCATTTGCATCTATAACCTGATGATGATAAAATGTGGAGTCAACACCATCAATGTAATATTGAAAGATTACTGAGGAAAGAATAAATGCCACACCAGCAACATAGTTGGGAATTTTGCGTCTTTAATATACATCTTCTGGTTAGGTATTCACTCCATCTGGGTTTTCATATCTTCTCTTCTAAAAAGTTTTATTAGTACTGCCATCAACTCTACCTGTCATGGATATTTAACGGTGGCAACAGAGTGTAGAGTCAAACAGGTTGGGAAAAGGCAGAGCTTCCAAAAAACGGGTCAAACGAAGACCAGCATGAAGACTGAAGGAGGATCTGCAGCCAGGGAGAGTGAAGACATCTTGGTGTGTACATCCGCTTTGTGCTGATCCTGATCAGAACCACCATGAGAACTAGAGTACTTCATAAAGTCTGCATGATGAAAGGATGGAGTGCCAGGACTCATTTTACCCCTCCCAAGCTTTAATGATGGTCCCACTCAGAGAATCTAAAAATAGGGTGGAAAAAAGGCCGAAAAATTCGAACAAAATGACACATACACAAAAAATCGGGCCTTAGAAATTTGTTTTGTTGTGAAAAATGCAACTTTAAAAACATCTGGATAAACTTGATGGAATTTTAACCTCTGAGAGAAATAACCAGAAAGAGCTTAAGTATTTGAATATTTGAAATTTGAGAAAGTATATGAATTTCTAATCCTTCCAGCACATATAAGCTTAATCATTTCCCCCCCTCCCTTCTTTATTCTTGTATCTTACTAATTACTGATACTGTTTCTACCACCTAAATTGCCTCTATCCTGCTCTTCCCCATCCAAGTTAAACAATTCCTTTATCATAAAATTTCTAAAGAATAATTCCAATTGCAAATTTTTCCATTCTCTACAATCCCAAATTTCTTTTTTGTTTGACTCCTATCTTTTAGCAAATTGGCCGTGTGTTTTTCTCTAGTTGTTTTGTAAAATAAATTTATAAAAGACTGAGAGTTCCTCCAAATCCTTGTCATTCCATTCAGTAGCTGTGTGACTTTGGAGATGTGATTTCATCTTTGTGTGCTTCAATTTTCTCATCTTTCAAATGAGCATAATTATACCTATCTCATAGAACTAGTGTACATATTAAGGAATAGAGTATAAGTTGCAGACATAGCTCTGTTCTTGTCATATACTAATACTTCAATAACTATGAACGTTATTATCAGTTATAATAGTTATTAACAGTAACAATAACTACTATATACTTACCTAATTATGAATTCCCAGATATATTGTAATTGTTTTCTTTTTATGCATCTATAAACAGTTTACAATGATATTGGTAATAATAAGCAACTATTTATTAGGGGATAGTAAACAAAATGTGTCTGCTCCGAAATCAGCTCAGGATCCTCTGTTTACTTTTCTGATCCTCTCATTTGCCCTACGTCATTTTCTTCTTGTGATCCTGACTTAGTAGGATTCAGGTACTTCGCTGGCCAGCTCTATTTTTCAAATTCTGTCATCTGAGTTATGAACGGGTGAATGAAATGAGTGACAGTGTTAAATGATAGGGATAAAAACTTGCTTCACAGCTAAACATAAGAATCACTAGATTCAAAACTGATTTTAATGTCCATCCGTTAACACTTCTAATTTCTTCATTTGCTTATAGAATGACAATTCTTTTGGTATGCAGAGGTCATCATTCTCTCTGAATTATAATTGCATACATGTCACATAAGATGGCAACTGGACCGATTTCTTCTTTACCATTGTCTCTCACATGTATCCACTAAATTTGTATCTATCTAAAAACGTTAAAGCAGACATATAGAAAATAGTTCAGTGTCCCATGGTCTCCAGCTTTCACACTGGTATTCCTACTTACAATTGTTCTTTCGTCTTCAAAACCACCTAGCTGGTTTGGAGAGCAGTCTTTCCATCCTTGAAATGGGACCATGTACATTTCACTTCCAAATTCTTCAGTGGCTCTCCATATTTTGACAAATTATATTAAAATGCAATCTTGAACTCAGGCTTCATATAACAATGACTTGAACCAGCACAGACATATTCACCGATTCAACCAAACTTGTGACCTTCCCTCTTGACCCCTTGTGTTTTTGCTGATGTGAAATGCCACTGTTGTTATCTATCCTATAAGGATCATCTCAAATACACAAATGTCCTTAAGTATTTCCTGCTTTCCTTCATTACTGGTCATCCAGATCATTTTATTTGTAATTTCTTCATGATATACTCATTTTTATATATGACATATATATGATTTGATAATTTCTTTATGATACTCATACATATATTCATATATATATGTCTATATAGACAGATGTCTATATATGAGTATATGTATGAGTATATCATGATATATAGATATATATCTGTATATGAGAGAGATAGAGATTTTCTTTTGTGTCATTTTTGTACTTGACATGTTTTCCTGACTATATCAATTACATACTTTTTAAAAAGAGTCAGCATGTGAAGCAAGAGCATATGTTAAATGTAATTGATATTTATTACATATTAATCAATTTGGATCCAGTTGAAACCAGCAATCGTGAAGCTTTTTCCTTTGGTGCTCTAATATGTTATTCCTAGACTACATTAACATTGTGATATCATTATTTTTCACCTATGACCTCAATCAGTTTCACTGGTATTTCATCACAACCAAACTCATATACATCATTTATTTTTAAATTCAGAGACCAAGAGGTCAAAGCAGAGTTAAAATATGCTCTATTGGCAGTTTTAGTTTTTTATTGCTAATTCTCAAATTGATGTAACTAATTAACCAATAAATACATTGATTTTACTTACTAAAAACTAATGGACTTTAAATATGTCACTTCATACCCTTGTGATCTGGTTTGTTCAAACAGATCAAGATAATTAAAATACTTGCATATAAACTCCATAGTACTTTAATGACAATTAGATGTAAATTTCCTTTGTGAATTAAAAAAAAAACTGTACAAGACCTTATATAATACAAAAGAAACAGCTGCAATATTAGTAGGACTACTCACATGGTAAAATTACATAGAGGTGATTCTAGAAACTTCTGGGACTTTTTTTTTAAACCTTATCATTTTGTATCTCTGCAATGCCACTCTTCATTCAAACTGGTCCTACTCAGTTCCTTTCTTCTCCCATTTCTCACCTGGGACAGTGAGTCTTTAGGAATAGAGCCTTAGAAATATGATTACCTTTTATATTGTATCCCCAAAGAAATGGAACACATATCACTGCCAGTTGATTAGAAGATTATTAGAGAAATATATTTTGATTCAATACTGAGAAACAATTTTATCGTTACATATATCTTTCTGAATCAAATTTTGCCTTATCTATTATAGTCAAAGGAAGACTTCTTCTGTGTTGTAGGATTTCTTATAGAAGGATACTCCTTAATCAGCATTCAGGTAATTCCTTGTCCAATTAAGATCCTAAAAAGACAATTTTGGAATGCTACCTTCATTCTATCTGGACTGTTTTCTTGCTAGAGTTTCTTTCAGAATCTCATCTAATTACCTGCACTCAGATAATGTTCTAAATCTGAAGGAAGCTGAGTTTCTTTTCCTACATTTCAAAATCAGTAGTATTTTCACGATCTTTATATTTTTCTACTACTTCTCTTCCAATAGGCACAGCTATTTATTTCTATCAAGTGCTATTAAGTTTCTGAGATAAGTTTGGAATATTATGAATAAAATTAATTATATACTCTACCCCAAGAAAGCAGTAAAGTTATTAAAGAAGAATATGTAGCCTGTTCCCTTGGTTTTCCATACACTTCATTCATGCCTAAATATTGAAGACTTATAGCAAATAGAGGTAAAATCAATAATAAGGAAATAACAGCAGTAGATAAACTCAGAAAGTAGAGTTAGGAGAGAAAAAAATGGAAAGGAGAGAAAAAAATGGAAAGGAAAGGAAAAAGAAAATGAGACAGAAAAAAGATAAGTACATAAAGATAGTACGTTCTTATCTATTATATAGCAATAGTCACATAAGTTGCTGTTGAATATAGGAATATAAAAGGAAATGAAAAAAATTGAAAATAAAAATTAAAGATCTAAGACGAAATTCAGTAATTCAGTTTAAATGCCTAGAAAGGACTGCAGGGAGCTCTTGCCTTTCTGACTGTATAAGAATAATACGGAAATAGAAGAGTTTAATTTGCCTAAATCAGAAGTTAAAACATGCTGATGAGTCCCTTGAGAGTGAAAAACTGGAGTTGGGAGACAGAAGAATCTATAGATCCTGGCAAATGGGGTGCACAAAAAAAAATGAAGGATGAGCAGAGTAGAAGTATCTGACCATGTGGTTTATGAAAATGTGAAGCCCATTATTTTAAATGTTTACATCCTAATACAGTCTTCATTAGCTTTCTAAGCATGACTCTAAGAATTAATAAATGAAACTGAAACAATATTTAGATTTTCATTCTACCCGACTTATTTTATATACTTCTTAATATTACTTTGTAAGAACTTTTGCTATTGTTTTAATTCCATGCTCTCTCCCTATCAGATTCCCTTGTTCTAAATTGTCATAGATTTAAACAACCTTTTGTTGTTTGTTTTGTTTTTGTTTTGTTCTGAGACAGAGTCTTGTTTAGCCACCCAGGCTGGAGTGCAATGGTGGGATCTCTGCTCACTGCAATCTCTGCCTCGCAGGTTCAAGTGATTCTCCTGTCTCAGCCTCCGGAGTAGCTGGAATTACAGGTGTGCGCCACCAAACCTGGCTAATTGATTTAAACAACCTTTGATTTATCTGAGTGGTAAGGCTTTGAGAGTTAAATTTTCTCGAAAATCAATATGTTAATATCTACAATCTTCGTAATGGAAATAGCAGTTTCAATCTAAAAAAAGGTTTTAAAAATGCACACCTAAAATATTTAAATGAAAATATAAAGTTTCAAAGGTAAATAACATGATTAGTAACACATATTTTTTCCATCAGTCTCCTCATAATAAAATAGTATTTGACTATGATTTGCAACACCAGATTGTTCACATCAAATTTTCTATCCATAAACCTAAATTTTAGGTATATAATTGCTTTCATAAAGTATGTTTGCTTTCTTCACGTAATATGCCTCTAAAGTAAGAATGATTTTTTTTAAAAATGGAAGAAAGGACACTCAGGCACCACGAGGTTGTAGGACTTGCTCAAATTTATAGATCTAGTAAATTCAGAAGAAAAGATTTGAATAATACAATATTTTGAATACTTCATTGGTATACTTTTCAAAGCTTATTGTCCTCTCAAACAAAAATGTATGTGGCTTGTAGAATTTCTTAAGAATTTTATTTTACAGTTTTACTCCTGAGTGCTCCCTTTACCCTACTCCATGAAGCGATGACAAAGCAAGGTGACCTTTGACTTTGATTAATGTTGCCTCCCCCTTTGGTATTTACCTAATGCTGGGTTGTAATCCATCAGTTTGTCTGGTATGTGACATGGAGATGGGGAGTCCTGGAAGACTGACCTGGGGCCCAAACATGATCCTCAGACCAGTTTGCTGTTTGAATTTCTTCTCAGTCCTCTATAACATCAACTCAGTTCTCTCTGACCTACTGAAATGCCAACTTCAAAAACCAATTCCAACTTATGACCATCCGTAGTATCTTAACTCTTCAGTGAGTTTTCCCAGGAATTTTCATGCCATTGCTGGCTTGCTCTCACCCTTCTGTTTAAGCCTCCAATACTCAAAATAATTAGTATTTACGGCTGCCAGCATGTCCAGGGAAAAAACCAGAGGAACTAGAAAATGAGGGACACCTCAGAAGAAATCAAGAAAATGATCCTAACAAAATACAAACTTTGGACTTGTAAATTTGGAGAGTCATCTAAGAAGAAAGAAAATTAATTTGAGCAAGACTTGATCTCATGGTTGTGAAGATGATTTTTAAAAATTATTATTATACGTTAAGTTCTGGGATACTTGGGCAGAATGTGCAGGTTTCTTACATACCTACACATGTGCCATGGTGGTTTGCTGCATCCATCAACCCATCATCTACATTAAGTATTTCTCCTAATGCTAACACTCCCCTATCTCCCCAGCCTCCAACAGGCTCCGGTATGTGACATTCCCCTCCCTGTGTCCATGTGTTCTCATTGTTCAACTCCCACTTATGAGTGAGAACGTGCAGTGTTTGGTTTGCTGTTTCTGTGTTTGTTTGCTGAGAATGATGGTTTCCAGCTTCATCCATGTCTCTGCAAAGGACATGAACTCATTCTTTTTTATGGCTGCATAGTATTCCATGGTGTATATGTGCCATGGACATTTGGGTTGGTTCCAAGTCTTTGCTATTGTAAATAGCGCTGTGATAAACATACGTGTGCATGTGTCTTTATAGTAGAATGATTTATAATCCTTCAAGTATATACCCAGTAATGGGATTGCTGGGTCAAATGGTATTTCTGGTTCTAGATCCTTGAGGAATCACCATACTGTTTTCCACAATGGTTTAACTAGTTTACACTCCCACCAACAGTGTAAAAGTGTTCCTGCTTCTCCACATCCTCTCCAACATCTGTTGTTTCCTGACTTTTTAATGATCACCATTCTAACTGGCATGAGATGGTATCTCATTGTGGTTTTGATTTGCATTTATCTAATGACCAGTGATGATGAGCTTTATTTCATATGTTTCTTGGTCACATAAATGTCTTCTTTTGAGAAATGTCTGCTCATATCCTTTGCCCACTTTTTGATGAGGTTGTTTGTTTTTTTTCTTGTAAATTTGTTCTTTGTAGATTCTGGATATTAGCTCTTTGTCAGATGGATAGATTGCAAAAATTTTCTTTCATCTGTAGGTTGCCTGTTCATGCTGATGATGGTTTCTTATGCTGTGCAGAAACTCTTTAATTTAATTAGATCCCATTTGTCAATTTTGGCTTTTGTTGCCATTGCTTTTGGTGTTT